TGATTCAAAGGGTTTTTAGAATATTTAGAGTTGGGCAACTATCACCACAGTTAGTCTGAAAACAGTCCTGGCCATGCAAGCTCTTCAAACTGACAGAAAAGGGAACTAGCACTCCTAGTGCATTCTACAAGGCTGGTACACTCCAATGGCCAGATCAGATGTCCAGGGTGAGGAAGAGAGGTTGTCAGAAGTCCATTTCATCAGTGAACCAAAGCACAAACACCAAATCAGACTTAATGGTAAACTGACCCCAGCAATACGTGTAGATTCAAAAATTTCATACTGTTTAGATTTACCCGCACTGGGCACATTCATGAAAGTTGATTCTAGAGTGTGTGGGGAAGAGCAGTGGGGTAAGAATGGCCGAGATGCTCCAAAAAATTCTCTGAAAATACATTTCTTCCCAAACACATAACTAATGATCACCATGGTGCTTTGACAGAGCACTAGACACAGAGACCCAAGGAGAAGCAGGAACCCAGAGACACCCAGGCAAATTAAAACCCAATTCTATTTATATTAAAAGTTTTGTTATAAAAGGCAAAAATCCTTTCTTTTAGAGACAAAAGAAGGGACTATTGTATGATCCTGAGTTAGGGAAATATTTTTAAGCAAGATACAAAATGTATAAACTGTGAAGAAAAAGATTAAATTGAGAACTTCTGCTCAAAGATTAAATTGAGAACTTTTGCTTATCACAAGACACAATAAAGAAAAATATCTGTTATTCATAAGAGTATCAAAGAATTAGCATCCGGAGTTCATAAAAAAAAAAACTCTTTAAAATCAGAAAGTAAATAGCAAAAAAAAAAAAAAAAAAAACCCTCAGTAGAATAATTAACTATAGATATAAATAGGGATTTTACAGGTGAAAAAGGAAAATGGCCAACAAGTGCAAATAAAAGCACAATAGATGCCATTTGAACCCACAGAATGAAAAACAAAAACACATTCTATAATAGGGACATCCTACCTTGGAGATCAACGGCTGAGGCTACTCTACAGACCCAACAGTCTGGACCCCTGCAGACAGACACAGTCGCCTATGGGCAGCTAGCAGGAGATACCTGTGAGGCCACAGAAGAGGAAATGGAAAGAATCTTCCCCAGTCTGTGGCAATACCCAACAGAATCTGTTCAAGGAAAGAAGGTTTATTTTGGCTCACAGTGTGAAGGGATATGTCCATCACGGTGAGAAAGGCACAGTGGCAGGTGACTCCGTGGCGGCTGAAGTGTGTGGCAACTGCTGACTACGTGGCAGAGAGCAGGATGGAAACCAGCACTGGACTATAACCCTGTAATCTGCTCCCTACAGTCCTATATCTATCTGCCAGCTAGGCCCCATGCCCAAAAGTTTCCCCAGCCTCCCTAGATACCACCACCAGACCAAAGGTTCACATATAGGAGCCTGCAGGGCACGGTCCACACACAAACAACTGAATGTTCACCTATAGGTAAGTTAAAAGATGCTGAACACACAACTGTGAAAAAATAGGTGGCCAGTGGGAGAAAAAAAAAAGCCAATATACTAGAGCTCACAGGTCCTGACGGTCAATCTCAAGAATGAAACATTTATATCTAGTATCCACTTACAAGTGAGTACATACCCTGTTTGTCTTTCTGAGTCTGGGTTACCTCACTCAGGATGATATTTTCTAGCTCCATCCATTTGCCTGCAAATTTCATGATGTCATTGTTTTTTTTTTTTTTTTTTTTTTTTGGTTTTTTTGAGACAGGGTTTCTCTGTGTAGCTTTGCGCCTTTCCTGGATCTCGCGCTGTAGACCAGGCTGGCCTCGAACTCACAGAGATCCGCCTGCCTCTGCCTCCCGAGTGCTGGGATTAAAGGCGTGCGCCACCACCGCCCGGCTGATGTCATTGTTTTTTTACAGCTGAGTAATACTCCATTGTGTATATGCATTGTGTATATGTACCTACCACATTTTCTTTATTCATTTTTTAGTTGAGGGGCATCTAGGTTGTTTCCAGGTTCTGGCTATTATGAATAATGCTGCTATGAATATAGTTGAGCTAGTGTCCTTGTGGTATGATTGAGCATGCTGGTAATCATATTGGTGAATACCCTAATTGTCATCATAGAGCCTTTATCCAAGTAACTGATAAAAGCAGATGCAGAGATCCACAGCCAAGCACCAGGCCAAGCTCTGGGACTTCAGTCGAAGAGAGGGAAGAGGGATTATATGAGAAAGGGGGTGTCAAGATCATGATGGGAAAATCTACAGAGACAACTGAACCAAGCTCATAGCAACTCACAAACTTTAGACTGACAGCTGTGGAACCTGCATGGGACCAGATTAGGCCCTCTGCACATGGGAGACAGTTGTGTAGCTTGGTCTGTATGAGGGGCCCCTGGCAGTAGGATCATGGTCTATCCCTGGTGCATGAGCTGGCTTTCTGGAGCTCATTACCTATGGTCGGATGCCTTGCTCACCCTTGATGCAGCGGGGAGGGGCTTGGTCCTGCCTCAATTGAATGTACCAGACTTAGCTGTCCCCCCCATGGGAGACCTTACTCTTTTTAAGGAAGGGATGGGGGGGGTGGGTCAGGGGGAGTGAGGCTGGGAGGGGAGCAGGAGCAGAGATGGGATGGGGATCTGTGGTTGGTATGTAAAATAAATCAATTTTTTAATTAAAAAATAATAAAAAATTAAAATTAAAGAACGAAACATTTGGTGAGAACAAAAGTTGTGCAAGATATGGAGAGCACAGCAGCACTCACAACATGGATGTGTTGCTTTGGGATACACACATGCACAAAAGTGTCAAGGAAGAGCACCTGCTGGATAAATGCCGCCTTCCCAGAGCAGCCACTGCAGGGGAGAAGTGAGACTGGGTGTGGGTGGGGCAACCAGAGGCCTCACTCTCTGGAATGAGGTAGGACCTTTGCAGTAGAGCCATGTGTCGGGTTTCCGTAGGCTTTGCAACGTCGATTAACTTTACAGAGTTCCTTTTATGGATCAAATATCTCATTTTCCCTAAAAATGAACACCTGGTGTAGTCCTGGACTGCCTCGTATCTCACAGTGAGTCACGCAGGAAAGCAGAACTACGGCCGTAACTTTTATTGTCACTCTTAAGAACAAGGTATAACTAACACTACGTTTGAGAATTTAACTTATTCATTTAATTATCCACGCAAATACACATGTTATTTACTGCACTGAGTTACCCTGTGACCCCACACTGATGTACACCTGAAAAGGGTTGTTTTCATTGCAAAGGCTGAGACTGAAACTCCCTTTCCCTAGTCTATTCAGATTTAACCTTCAAGCCTTTACCTTTCAGCCTTGTAAATGACAGAATCTAAAACGGTGTTTGGAGATAGTGCCCTGATTCTTGGAAGGTGTCTGCCAGGAAGTTAAACAGGATTGCTTTCTGCAGCCAACTTTAAAATGAACTAGAAAATAAACCATGGTAATAGCACCATGGGATGGCTGGGTTAATTAAAAGTTAGACCCTGACCCAGGAGCAGCATTGATATGGCTGGTGAGGCCCTCCTGAGAACATTCCACTCCCCTTCCTGTCTGAGGATGCCTCATGTAAGGAAGCTGGAGCAGGAGATGGGGCTGGCTTCTTCATTCTGGGCTTTGTCCTCTCTCTCTCTCTCTCTCTCTCTCTCTCTCTCTCTCTCTCTCTCTCTCTCTCTCTCTCTCTCTCTGACCTCTCCAGGGCTGAGTGTGGAGACAGAAAAGATGGCAGGAAAAGTCGAGCCGTGCCTATAGTAGAGAGGCCACAGACCTTCCAGCTCCTTCCCACCTTCAAACCACAGAATAAAACGGTTTAAACACAGACACACAGACAGACAGACAGACAGATACACACACACACACACACACACACACACACACACACACACACACACACACACACACACACGGTGCACATGCTGAGTCCAGCCTTACATGTAGGCTTAAAAACGATCATTTTCAAAGGCAGAGACTGAAACCCCTAGAGCAGAGGCTGTTGTCTTTCTCCCTAGACTTGTATAATGAGGCCCAAGAGCCAGGACCTTAAAATGAAACTATCTTTGGAAACTTTATTTGGTGATTAAATTACAATGAGGGAATCAGGATGAACTATAATCCAAATGGCTATTGCTCTTTTAAGGAGGAGATTAAGGGGCTGGCGAGATGGCTCAGTAGTTAAGAACACTTGTTGCTCTTGCAGAGGCCTTGGGTTTGGTTCCTGGCACCAATGTGGCAGCTCACAACCATTCATAACTCCAGTTCAGGGGATCTGATATCCTCTCCTGATTTCCACAGGTACCAGACACATAAATGGTGGGCATACATACCTGCAGGCAAAACGCTAATACACATAAAATAAATAAATGAATCTAAAAAAGGACATTAAACTATAGATTCACACAGAAGGATGACCACTGGGGACAAAGGCAGAAGACAAGTAGAAGGCCTCAGGAGAACCAACCCCGATGACATCTTGATCAGAACAATGAGAAAATACAGGTCTTTGTTAACTGTGATGCCAGCCCGAGCGGCCCTGCCTTGCTTGCTTCCCACCTCTGGTGTCTGGCAATCTACTTCACACATTTTTTTCAATAGGAATTCCTTTGTCCCTCCAAGAGATGCTCTTAGGTAATGGTGTGTGTGTGTGTGTGTGTGTGTGTGTGTTTGTGTGTGTGTGTGTGTGTGTGTGTGTGTGTATGCACGTATGTGGTTGCATTGTGCACATGTACATGAGTGTGTGTGGAGGCCAGAGGTCAGCTTCAGATGTCAGTTCTAAGATACCATCCACCTTGATATTTGGAACAGGGTCTCTCCCTGACACAGTAGGCTAGGCTGGGTAGCCAGCAAGCCCTACAGATCCACCTGTTTCTATTTCCCAATGTTGGTATTATAACTGCCCCTATCACACCCAGCTTGTGTGTGTGTGTGTGTGTGTGTGTACTTTGATGCCTGTGGAGGCCAGAGGTCTACAATCATCTGTCCTCTTCTAATACTTTCCATCTTATTTTTTGAGATAGGCTCTCTTCACAGAACCTAGAGCCCCCTAACTGATTGGCTAGACAGGCCTGCCAGTGAACTCTGGGGATTTGTCTGTTCCGGTTGTCATCTTCCCCCAGTGCTGGAGCTGGAGACATGCTGTTACTACGCCTGGCTTTTTCTGTGGATACTGGGGATCTGACCGTATGTCCTAATACTTGTAGACCTATCAATTGACCCACTGACATTTCCCCAGCCCTTGTGCCTAGTTATTTAACTGAATTCTGGGAATCAAACTTAGGCCCTCATCCTTGTATCCTTTATTGACTCTGCAACCATCCCAACCATCAGAGTAAGGATGCCTACCTTCTGCAGGAGGCAAGAAGGGAGTTTTGTTCAATACAACTAAGTAGCTGGTATTGGTTTAAACCTTGGGAATCTGACCCTGAGTAGTTTATTTTAGGCATATTTAAGCACAGCACAATTTGATGAAACTATTCCTGGTGATAATTAACTCAATCCTGTGTGCACAACAAAGCTTAAGACATGACTACATTGGAACTCCTTATAAAAGACATGTGACATTTTTAATAATGGGTTTTATGGACTACACGTTACATGTTCTATAAAGATAGGTTCTATAGATTGACAAGCTCATGATAAGGGTCTAGGGGAGGATCCATGGTGGTCTCAGCCACATAGACAGAGCAAAATGTCACCAGGTGTGGTGGTTTGAAAAAAAAATGGCCCCCAAAGGGAGTGGCACTACTAGGAGGTATGGCCTTGTTGGAGTAGATACAGTCTTGTTGGAGGAAGTATGTCACTGTAGGGGCAGGCTTTGAAGTTTCTTTTCTCAAGCTTCACTCAGTGTACCAGTCGATCAACTTCCTCCTGCCTTCTAGTCAAGATGTAACACTTTCAGCTCAAGCATCATGTCTACCTACATGCCGCCATGCTCCCTGTCATGATGATAATGGACTGAGCCTCTGAAACTATAAGCGAGCCACCCCAATGAAATGTTTTCTAAGAGTTTGTCATGGTGTCTCTTCACAGCAATAAAAACCCAAACCAAGACACCAGGCTATTAACCATATCTGCTCCTAGTCTTCTGGGTGGATAACAGGTTATGCATCTCTTCCTTTGAAGGAACAACCTTGCGTATTTAACATGCCTGGTTCCCCTAGTGAGCACAAGGACCTCCATGCTTCCTACACTTTCTGACCCATATTCTCAGGCCCATGGGTGTAGTGGGTAGCCATTCCAACCTTGATCTGGAAGTTCCAACCCTCATTGAGGCTTTGGTAACTGTCACGCCTAAAGGCGGGGCCAGGAGAGGACCCTGAAGACCTGAGATCCTGATGTGTGGGCTCGATTGTTTCCTGGACCCTGGACGCTGGAGGCAGACCGAGCAGAGTTCTCCAGAGAACACCTCCGGACTGCACTACGTCTTTCCCAGACCCTGCAACCTACCTATCCCTTCATTTGTAAGTTATGCCACTAAACAAACTTCCCTTTTAATTACGTGGAGTGGCCTTAATAATTTCACCAATACACGGGAGAGAGATGTTTGAAAACATGTCAAGGTGGCTGTCCTCTATAGGGTCTAGCTCTGAAACACACACAAGCTTAGAGCACACAGCTGAAGTTTGGCTGGATCTACCTAGCATATACCCATGTGTACTCTTTCTAGTGGCATGCATAGCTCTTGCCTTGGAGCTCATTCCAGGCAGGAACTACATCCTTACCTCATCCCCCACAAATTCCAGGAATGACTAGTAAGTTACCAATCCCTAGGAGCCTACTAAATTTGATCTGAGGTAATGACAAAACATCCACTTAGCTGACCCTTCTTAGGTTCTGGGTGGGAAGGTTGTGCCATCTAACCCCTCCAAAAAAAATCTCTTGAAACCCTTCTGTGTGATACTGGTCTAAAGAGTTCTATAACCACCTACATGTCCCACACAAGTGGTCCAAAACCCATGACAGTGTTGGTGTTCAACCTCTCCTGCATTGTTCTAGGCCTAGGCTCTGAAGATTGAGTAGAGTATCCAGCTGGTTCCTGTTTCTGCTTCCAACTTTTTGGAAGATATGAAGGGAGCTGATGACCAAGCAGCAAAATCAGATACAAACTCAACAAAGTGGCCTGTTGGGCTGATTACCCATCTCTCTCTCTCCTCCAGGTGAGCAAAATGAGTTGGCTGTACCACTGTTCCTCATTTACTATGCAATGAGGCAGTAGGACCAGCCTGGGATTAGTTGCTGGGAGAAGCCTGGGACCCAATCTTCTGAAAATCTAAGTTTGGGCTGCATTCTCTCTTTGAACCCTAGGCATCTAAGATCAGAGATTTCCATGTCTCAGCCAATCACCAAGTGTCCCTTATCCAGACTCTAATGCATTGTTCTTTGAGAGCCTGAGATCAGGTGGGGTTCATGGAGACAGTTCAGAAGACGGAATAAACTGATGAGCCTTCCTATCTTTCTGAAGTAGTCTGAAACACATGTCTGTGTTAGTGGGTCATTATTCAGTGTTACAAGGTTTTATGTGTGATGTGAGACTCCTGATTTGGTGCCATTATCCTTTCCAGCTAGTACTTCCCATCATAATCCTCAGGGAACCCCTTCCTAATGTTCCTCACACAGGCTGGATGCTTTGGCTTGAATTCACCCTCTTTCCCAACCTCATCTGTCTAGCTCCTTGGTGACTCCTTCCTGTCCTACTACCCCCCAGAACTCGCTTCTCCACTGGGGTTGGAGCACCTCAGCCATTTCTACCCAAATCAGAACTCTTGTCTCTGTTCTAGATGATGAACTACTTGGGTTACAGTAAGGTTGTCTGGTGGGCTTCTGTTCCCTCCGGCACCCACAGTGTAAAGTGTGTGGACAACCAGTCCACAGATGGTGGAAGAGTACACGTGTACACTCGTTTGTTTCAATGATGTCCATGACTTATGTTCTGGTGATGGGCAAGACCGCTGGAAGAGGCCGACACACACATTTCACTTTCAGGGTTAACCTTCCAGCCACTATACAGTAAAATAAAGTAGTGATTATTATAAGTTTTCAGAATATAAAAATATGGCTAGGAAGACTGCTTAGTTCAATTCTGTGAGCAAATCAGATCTTCATATCAAGTCACCAAGAGTAAGGTAAATTAGATCACCACATAGGAGCAGTTCTCTTCTGAGCCCAACACTTATGGAAGAGGTGTTTTGCATTGTCTTAACATCTGTATAGTAGGCAGGGGGACTGTCTATAAAATTCTTCATAGCTGCTCACTTCAAAGACTCACAGAGAACACTTTTTATCCAAATGGATGTATCTAAATATGAAATTCTACAGCATTTTAAAACATTTGTTTTAATAGAGACTGGGTTTAATCCTATGCCTTCATGTGACTGAAGAACAAGAATTGTGAATATGAAACAAACTCTCTAGGGGAGAACACACACCAGGGTTGTAGATGCACACTAGTAGACATCTGCTTAAGTACAAACATCCCAGTGGACACAGCTCTACCTCCTAAGGGTTCCATAACCTCCCAAACAGGGATATCAGTGGGAACCACGTGTTCAAATACATGAACCTATGTGGGTCATTTCTCATTCAAACCATCACAGCCACTATCCTAGACGGCTGGGCAAGCCCTGGCACATGTTTTGGCTGACATTGTTTGCTGGCCATCCAACAGTTGTTGGCCTACAGGTGTGCCTTCCTTATAGGAGATAATCACAGGCAGGTGGGGTCACTATGATATCCCAAGGCATTCCCTAACTGTTCTGTTACCGGCTATTTCATTCCCATTTTTAGCTTTTAGTTTAGATCCGGGCATGTGAAAGAGTTCTGGCCAATAGACATAAGAAGGTGCCTTGTAGGAGGACTTCTACAAAGTCATTCTCCTCAATAAAGGACAAAAAGATGTCTTCTTGACATTGGGTTATTGGAGTTGAGAACTTGATGAATAAAACTGTGACAGCCACCCTGGGACAATGATGACACAGCCAGAGCCTAGGATGGCAGAGCAAAACTATAGGAACTGAATTCTTAAGACTTTCTTTTTTAAAAAATACTGAATTAACTCCTCTGGAACATTCTGACTTCTTGTTATATAAAAAAAGTACTTAAGCCAGTGTTCTCTGAGATTCCTGCAGCTTATTGCTGAGAGCATTCTAAATAACTACATATTGGATCCTGGATCTCATTAAATTCTCACATCAGTGGTATAAAGCAGGCTTAGAAAAAAAAACAAATAAAATAGCAAAATGTTCAAATATTTTTGCCAAGGTCACATGCCTGTAAATGGCATAGCTGAATCCACAATCAGGTCTGATTCCAAATTTGGTGTTTCTTCCAGTGAAACCAGATGATGCACACACAAAAGCCTAGAGCAGGAAAACCTCCTGTCAATCATGCTGACATCCTTAACAAGTCAAAGACAACCATGCCATTGGCAGAAGAGACAAGCCACCCAGCACAAATGCTGCTCTGTCAGACTGCGTGATTGCCATCGAGTCACTTACCGTTTCCCAATTACGAGACCTCCAGTCTTCATCTATCATTGAAAAGGGGAACTCAAGACACACACGTGCAAATAGGGCACACGCCCCGCTTTCCCTGCTGTGTGGTGTTGTGGAAGAGCAAGCACAGACTAGACACTGGCCTCTTCTTCAGGAGTCTGCAGACGCTTGGGCTATCTGAGGGAACACATTCCAGGGAGCATCGCTCATGGCATCACAGGCTCTGAACGCAGCCTGCGACTCAGAAGAAGAGCATGGATCCACAGGCGGAGGTGAACCATCAGTCAGTGGGCGATAAAATAGCTCGTCTTCTGGGTATTAGGTTTATGAAACTGTTCATACGTTTTCTTACAACGACAGCAGTTTTAGGCATTATGATTATGCTAGGCCTGGGACTACCCAACAAGTAGGGTTCCAACACATTGGATCTAGGGGGAGCTGGAAGCTAGCCACAGCAGTCTCCAGCAGAGCTGAGGCAGGGGAGTGCATTGCAGATGGCCGAAGAGCACTTGAGACACTGGGCCCAGACTTCTGAGGTCAAGTGGCCAAGCAAGGTCACCCCCCAAAAAGAGATGCCTCACTTGGGTCATAATGAAAAGTAGTTTTTAGATTACTCATCTCTCTCTCCCTCTTCCTCTCTCTCTCCGTCCTTCCCTGCCCCCTCCCGTGTGTGTGTGTGTGTGTGTGTGTGTGTGTGTGTGTGTGTGTGTGTATGTGTGTGTTTGCATGCGTGTGCCATGGTGTGCATGTAGAAGTCAGAGAACAACTTGCACTACCATGTGGGTCCAGGAATCAAACTCAGGTTGTTAGGGTTGGCTGCAGACACCTTTACCCCTGAGCCATCTTGATAACCCCAATATTATGGTATGTTTCTAAAACGGATGTTCATACTCCTCCTGTCTTCACTCATTATGAGGGTCTGGGAAGCTAGCTACTTTACATTGATTAACTCACCTCATAGTATGTTGAACAGTTACATGGGAGACATGCAGTGTACACCTTCATTACCACCACTACTGCCCCACCTAGCAAGTTAAGAATTCTTATTCCTGGTGCATTAGTGAATAGACAGGCTCTTAGAGACACTTAAAATGGTCTCTCAGTAGGAGAGTCTTGAAATCAATTACAGTAAAAGGTAAACCCACAGGATTCTCATACAATTAGCAACCTAAATGCTTGTTGCAAAAAGAATTGAAAACAAAAAACATCTAATTCCAGTGTCAGCTCACCAGGCATGCTCACGGAGATGACCATTGTCTATGTGAGTACCACCGAAATGGGCCTGCAAGACCCACAGCTCAGAATTTTGAGGACCAGTCCAGATGTCAAGTGAGTCAGGCAGGAATGTGGAGCCGCCTCAGTACTTTGAAGTCAACTCAGAGAGACCAAGCTATCGCTTCAAAAGTCTCATGAAGAGAGGTGTTCTGAGGCCCAGCTGGCAGATGTGGGTCACTGCAGGGTAGGACTTAAAGTCTGTTTCTGCTTCTGCTTCTGACTGTCACCCTCCAAGATTAGAGGAGCCCTAGCTGCATGCCTGACTACCATAAGCACAGTGATACTTCTCCACCATGATGCTGTACTATCCTGGTGGGGATGCAGATATCCTAAAGAGACATTCCTGGAGCTGAGATGATGATGGGCAGGACCACACCTTGACCAGAACAGCTTACTGGTACATACCTCTTGTCCTCTACTTTAAACCTAAACCTCATCAAGACCCTGGGAGGTGGGTGGTCACTGGGATTGTTTTTTCCCTCTTCCCAATGTGGCCACATTTCATGAATCTCCCTCTTCTGCTTTTCACTGTTACTTGTTTCTTTACTTGGTTCATTGAGGACAAGTAAGTGACTCTGGTTTATCAGGGCTTTGCTGCCCAGGCTCTGACCCTAAGTCCAGGAACAAAGGATTGTGTCCCCTCAAACCATGAGCCAAATAAACTCATACTCCTTGAAATTGTTTTTGTCAGCATTTTGGCACAAGGAAGAGGAAAGCAATTAACACAGCAGCAAATAATTTAACATTCTGAGATACGTGTCCAGTGTGGGACAATGAAATAAGCTATTAGCATCTTCTCACATCTTGCTATGAATAGTTCTCAGATCACAGCCCACGACTACAGGGCAAGCCCTGTTCTTAATACAAAAAGCACTGTGCAAATAAATGGCTATCTTCAGATAAACAAATGAATAAATAAATGTATTTGGGGGCTAGAGAGGTGGCTTGCTGGTTCAGAGTACTTTCTGTTCTTTCAGAGAACCCATGTTCCCTTACCAGTATCCACATTGGGTGGCTCACAACAACCTGTAACTCCAGCTCCCAGGGACCTGGTGCCTCTTTTGACCTCCAGGAATACACACACACACACACACACACACACACACACACACACACACACACACACACGCATGTAAAAAGTATTGTTTAAAAGGACAAATGCTTGGGTATATATACTCACTAGCTTTGTTATGCAAAAGAGACTGACATAAGACCTGCTTGTACAGCTGTCTTAAGTTTGCTGGAGTAAACTTCATCAGAAAAATTTCACAGAGCTTAAACATCATTAAAGCTGATTTTAAGACATTGCCCCAATTTCTTTTACTATAATCTGTTGCTGTCATTATAAAAACCACAGTATCATGCCATGAGGTAATACTTCCTTATTTAGAAAAGCTACTGGATGATTCATAATCGTCGTGGTAGTGATACACTTTCAATTATATGGAGAAAAAACTCAAATCCCTTTTAATTCCACCTTCTTTAACCATGAAGGGTATTTCGTCCAGATCTCACCCGCTGATACAACCCAGATGAAAAAGAGATCCTTTCTTTATTACTTACAGGGAGCTGTAAATCAAATGGGGACCTCCGTGGGGGTGAGGATAAAGGAGAAGGAGGGAGGGTTCATTTGCTTATTAGGTTTCCATATAAAAACATTAAGAATAACAGGCAGTTTCAGTGTGCCCCAACCAAAGCCTCGAATCAGTTGCTTCTGAAACATGAAAGACTTCTGTTATGGACAAATTGCAATCAGCCTAACTTTCTGTAGCCTTGTGCACATGCATGCTGCCCTGACCGATGAGACGTTATTAATAAAGGAAGAGATGAGTATGAATTAAAGCAAGCCTCGCTTAATCACATTAATCCACAGCAAGTCAAAGGCTTCAATTTTCGAAATAATTTTGGGCTTAATGCCTCGGAGATGGGCAGCCTGCTCCATTGAGGAAGCAGCTGGTCCAATTTGAGCTCCATTGTGAGTCTAGAATTGCCAGGTCCTCAGAGCAACACGGAAGCCTGACAGTTTTCAGGACGCGACCAGAAGTACAGAGACAAAGGAAATTGCAAGACATTGAAAGGGTCCCGAACAATGACAAGGCGGCCCTCTGTGGGGTGGATTATATATGATTACCAGACTCACTGCCGGCATGGATGGCGGCGTGCTCTCTCGGGCCCCTGCAGCTGCTGCGGGATGCACAGTCAAGGACCCACAACCAGGGGTTACAGATTAGAAAAAGGCTGACTCGAAGGCAACAGAGCAGCAACCACTGGCCTGTGTTCACCTCCCTCTGCTCGTCTCCTCCACACACAGCAGTGTGCTGGTCATCAGGCAGCTACTGGGGGACATCTTGTGACCAGCATGCACATACGATATGACACTCACACGCCTGAGTAGAAGGAACTTTCTCCCCAAGTGTGACTGTGGTTTTCATAAGTAAGACAGCTGCCTATGTGACGAAACTGAAAATGGAGGTTAGGACAAAGCAAGCTCCATGCTGGGCGTCAAGATGTGGAACTGCGGCTGTAGGACACCAGGAAAATCTGTGTGTTCTCAGGGTCTTGCTTCCTTCAGGAATCAAACCACCACTCCTAGCCTCATGTTTCGGGGCTTAGAACTTAGGGTGGACCAGCTCCACATTGCTCACAGAGCCTCCCCACACACTCACACTGACAGTAAGGGTACTACTGGGTATGGGGGAATACCACAGACCCAGAGCCCAAAGCTCAGTTTTATTTCTCAAAGTTAGCTGTGACTGTTGTCAGAGTCAGGAGTGACTTCATCTTTGACCAGGGATAAACATTTTCTGCCATTTCCTTTCTGCTCTAGGACTCCAATCTCCCAGAACTCCCAAGTGCCAGAAAAGAAAGCCTATCGAGACTTGGACAGTAAAACCGTAACTAACCCTCTCCGACAAGGCTTGCGCTGGGGAAATAAGGCCTGGCCTGCTGGCACAGAAGGCTCATACTTGCCTCTGCTCTTCTCTTTAGACAGCTGTATGTGTCTGTTCCAAACCTCAGACCCAATGAAATGACCTCACAGCCATTTCATGTATTGTATAATACGTGTATGTTCTCGTAGGGACGCCTGGCTAGGTGGGGTTCTATTCAGTCTCTTTACTTTCATGGCTTGACCTTTTAACACATAATAGACATTTTAGAAAAAGGATGCCTATCTATAGAAGTGAGCAAATGAAACATCAATTCTAATATTTAAACTGAATGAAAATGATGGATTTGTATATAATGAATGCCTTTGGTTAATTCTACTAACACGATACCTCTTGAAAGCTGTTTAATAAATACATCCAGATAACATTAATTTTAATTGAGTAAAATTACTTTGCCAAGTCTTAAAACATAGATGAATGGATGGATGGGTGGACAGATAGATAAATAGGTGGATGGATAGAAGGATGTATGGATGGATGAATGGATGGCTAACAGATGGACGGATGGGCGAACAGATGGATAGACAGATGGACAGATAAGTGTAATTGTGAAAGGATAGAAGTGTAGATGGATAAAGAGTGTCTGGGTAGTTGGCTAGAAAGAGGGATGGATGGCCAACAGAAAGATGGATGGATGGATGGATGGATGGATGGATGGATGGATGGATGGATAGATTATATACATAACAAATGGTAATGTTGGTTGTTAGATATATAGTCATGCCTTCCCTTAAGTAACAAAGAAAAGTTCACAGCTTCTCTAGATTGAACTTGACTTTGGAGGTCATGCAGCTTAACCTCGCCTCCTGGTAAAGTCTCACAGTTTGACAACAACAAGAACCACTCTGGATTCTGCATCATAATTCTTAAGAAGGAGGATGGAGATATTTAAAAACATACACATCTAAATTCCTTTGGGCATACTGAAGCCAGCTTCCTCTTCTCTTTCTCCAGTGTTATTCACTTAAAAAATGCTAACAACCTTGCCCCTTGCATGGCAGTTTTTTTTTCTCCAGTATTAAAAAACTGCTACCACACACTCCTCTCCTACCACAAAGAGCCAAGCCTTTGATGACAACAGCATGTTAGATGGCTTTTGGAGTTAACAGGAAAACCAGTTTGTAATTCAGCATCCCTCAAGCTCCAAAGTGACCCTTCTGTCACTGCTCTATGATAATTGAACAGGCCTTGTGAATGATCCCTTAACATTACAGTCTGGTATTAAGCCTTGTCAGCAGATGGCCATGGAAGAATATGGGAGGATGAAGGAGATTTTCTTCTGGTCCTGGGGGCTTCCTGTCTCAGACTCCTGCAGGGTAAGCTTGTTCCAGCCCTCATGTCTACAGAGAAGTTTGCTCTTAGGAGGCTCAGGAGGACCTATGAGGGTAACCTTTCATCATCCAGATAGGAAACCATTTAGCTAATATACTGTGTTGATACATCATACTGTAAACCCCATCTCTGCTTAAAATCATTTATATAGTTTATGTTTTCTGCAAACAAACATTAAAAATAACTCTAGGGGACTAGAGAGATAGCTCAGTGTCTAAAAGCACTTATTGCTCTTCCAGAGGACTCAAGTTTGGTTCCTAGCACCCAGGTTGGGCGGCTCACAACTTCCTGTAACTCTAAATCCAGGGGAGCCAACATTTTTGAACTCTGCAGACATCTGCACTCACTTGCACATATACATGCACACACACAAATAAAAATAATGAAAATATACTTTAAAAATCTATCTAAATTCAAACTTCCTTGGTTTATAAGGATGCTACACCCCCAATTCACAGATGGTAAATAGAAAATGTCATAAATCTAAATTTCCATACTTATATTCAGCCTCCTGAGTGAACTCCAACTGTCCAGGACAGCATAAGGTATGGTATCAGCAGTCCTCTTACAGTCATAGCTGGCAGGAGTTTTAGCTCAGCTCACTCTGGGCAATGTCCCACAAGAGGACCATTCCGTGGATGGAAAAGGTGAGTTCAAACGCTGAGCAACAGAGTGTACACTTCCCAACATATAAAGTGAAAGCACAACAGAAGAGCAGCCAGAGAAAGTGTGAAAATGTATCTGCTTCGGTGGAGAACATATTTCTACGGTCATGATGCTAACACTCTTTACTGGTTTACTAAAAAGGTATGATTGATGCAGATAAGAGATGAAGAGACTGTGGTACATGGAGGGAGGTGGCAGGGAAATCTAGGTTTATATGTTCAATTATGGTCATCATTAACATTGTTGTTTTATTATAACACTTACATGAACTCACAACTCAAGATTAAGCCACACAATGGGTGGAAGGGGAGCTCATGAGGCCCCACCCCTAACCGAGAAGCTACAAGCAATTGATTGTTGCTAGCAGAAGGGAAGTCATTTTTCTTCAGTGGTGTAGCCAATAAAGAATCCCACACTCCTGTTCATGCAAGCAACCCTAATTAAAGTCAGTGGATCATTTAGAGAGAGGGAAGGGAGAAAAAAACACATGGAAGTAAAAGGTCACTTCTTGGTAAGATAAAGGAATTCTGAGAGGGTGAGAGACAGGGTAAGAGAGGGTAATGCCAGTGAAACAAGTGAATAATTTGTATGCATGAAATCATAAGTAATCAAAGAATACATTAAAATGTTTTATGAAAAGGGATGGCTCGGGGGGGGGGGGGGGGTAAAAGCATTTGCAATGAAGCCTAAGTCGGATCTCCAGAACACACCAGGACGAAGGTGAGACTGGACTCCAGGCCTTATCCCCTGACCTCCCCTCCACATCAGAGGAGAGGGAGAGAGAGAAGGGGGAGCTTGATAACCTCCTTTGTCCTTCCTGGGTCTCCTTTCTGAAAGAGTGTCACCTTGTGTGACTGCTCGTGTCTCTCCTGAATCCCACTCTCCCCAAGGGCCCATCCAAATTCAGAACATTGAAGCATGGACTTTTCTAGCTCTTAGAATTCCTCCTAAACGAATCATCCCTCCTTTCACCCTCACTCAGCAGACCTTCACCTACATTGTTCCATACCTGGCCATAGTGACTGAAGGATGAGAGAAGCCCCAGCATTGTATCCAAATTACAGTCAATGACAAAAAAAAAAAGATACACACATCTGTGTGGCACAGGCATGTGGAGGTCTTGGTGTAGACAATCTATTTGAGGTTGGTCTTGAAGCATGGATAAACATGATGGTTAGTTTTATGCATCAACATGTCTATGTCCTTTGGTCAAGGGTTATCCTGGGCGTGGCTGTGAAAAGGATCTTTGGAAAAGATGAATATTTAAGATCATGAATTGAGTGAAGCAAACAGTGGGTGGGCCTGTCCCAACCAGCTGAAGGCCTACCTCACCAATTCCCCTCCCTCTTTCTCTTTTCTTGCTTGATAGCAAACCTTTCACATCATCTCTCAATATTTTCACACATAATTGAAAATAAGAATTGAAGTCATTCATATAAATTTAAGGATATTTTGTACATGACTGAATTCCACTTCCTCATCTAACAACACTGGCAGCTGTGCTTTAGAACAGCTGGCTCCTGGTCCATATTCAAACCTCTCTGACTGCTGCCATCTAAGCTCTTCTCAATCAATGTCCATCCTGTGTCTCACACTTCATATTTCATTATTCAGTCCCTTAGGTAGAAAATGTTTCATTTAGGGTAGGGAGATGGCATAGCTGATAAAAGCATTTGCTTTCAAGAATGAGGTTCTGAGTTCAAATCCCCAGTGCTTAGTTATCACTGGGCATAGAGACAGTAAGATCTGGGGTTTGCTGGCCCCAGGTTCAGTGAAAGACCCTGTCTTAAGGAAATAAGGTAGAAAGAAATAAAGCAGGACACTTGACATGTAAATACACACCATACTTACACAGGCATATACACAGCAGAGAGAGAGAGAATATGCATCCTTTAAAAATACACTCAGATGTGTAAGGTTTGCTATCCACAGGATATCCCACATTCAGACTTGCCTGCTTGCTTCTTCATGAGATGTGTCATGTAAGATGTTTCTCTGCCCCTATCATATCCAGTACACTAGGCATGGACATCATACTATCACTTTGTGTAGGTTGAATTATCTCAACATGAATTCTTATAGATGGTGCTGTGTGTCCCAGCATACATCACATTAGGAGATACCTACACAATGTCAGTTCTATGCACCAAAGGATGCTCTATTTTCATATGTTTTAGATCATGTGTAGTGTGATAGGTAATCACAATCATTAACTTTATGAGATCTAGAATGACCTGGGAAAAGGACCTCTGGACATGCCTTGGGGGAGTTATTGATTGAATGAATGGATTAGAAAAGATGCTGCCAGTTGTGGGTAGCACCATTCCTTAGGCTGTGATCCTGGACTGTAGAAAATGGAAAAAGCAAGCTAAGTACATGAACTAGCTCCTTCTAGTTCCTGACTGTGGGTACTAATTGACCAATTCCCTCAAGCTCCTACTACTTTGAATTTCCTGCCATGCTGGGATATATTTTTTAACTTTTTATTTATTCTTTCTGTCTTTCACATCATGCATCTCGATCCCATTCATTTCCCCGTCCCTTCATATCTACCCTCTGCCCTTGCAATCCCCCCCCCCCCCGCCCTGCAATAAAATAAAATTTAAGAGAAAAAAAGAAAAGAAAAAAATCTCATCATGGAAGATGTAGTGTTCTTTTGTCCATATGTCTTTACTTGCAAGTGTTCATTGCAAAGAGCACTGGTCTGGTTCGAGGCCTCTGGTTTCTGCTACACGATCAATACTGGGCCCTCACTGGGATTCCTCTTGGATATTCTGTTGTTGCCCTGTGTTGTGGAGATCTTGCAGATTTGAGTCTGCAGGACCGGCCCCTTTACATGCTCCAGCAGGTCACAGATGGGGTGGATGTTGGGGTGGGTCAACTCATAACCCTGATTCTGGGCCTGGGTAGTTGCAAGGTTGGTCAGCTCACCAGCTCTCCCCTGTCCTCAGTGAGCTCTCCAGCATTGCCTTGGCTAGTTCACCTCTTGCATTATTGAGCAAGAGGCGGGGCCAGTTCTCTGACTTTTACATCCTCAGGGGCTGTTCTCCCACACTGGAGCCATCAGAGCCAGCTCTACTGTAATGCCCAGGCAAACTGCCTGAGTGCAGCAGCTAGTTAGGGGCAAATACAGCTCTCCCACTTTTATCATCTCAGGGCCATCTCTCCCACCTGTCACAGGTGTCAAGGGGTGGAGGTATGAGAGGGGGTGGGGGGCATCTCTTCCCCACCCACACCACCATATGGCAGATGAGGGGTGGGGCCAACCCCCCCTCATGTTCTTGGGGCCAGTTCACCCATACCCCTGTCAATAGGGTCAGCTCTGCTGTGTCGCCCCGACAAGGTGGAAGGCCCACTTTCCCGTGAGCTGTAG